TGAGACTTTGCTGAAGTTGCTTATCAGCTTACAGAGAGTTTGGGCTGAGATGACGGGGTTGTTAAAATATACAATCATGTCATCTGCAAACAGAGACCATTTAACTTCCTCTTTGGCTATATGAATACTCTCTATTTTTTTCTCTTGCCTGATTGCCCTGGCCAGAATTTCCAATACCATGTTGAATATGAGTGGTGAGAGAGGGATTCCTTGTCTTGTGCTGGTTTTCAAAGGGAATGCTTCCAGTTTTTGTCCATTCAGTATGGTATTGGCTGTGGCTTTGTCATTTTTTGTTTTTGTTTTTAAACTGTTTGATTTTCTTGTACATTCTGGACATTAGTCCTGTGTTGTATGAACAACTTGCATTTATTTTCTTCCATTCCATAGACTTTCTATGCATTGTGTTGTTTCCTTTGCTGTACAGAAGGTTTTAGTTTTTAGTTTAGTCCCATTTGTCTGTATTTGTTTTTGTTGCCTGGGTTTTTGAGGTTTTAGCCAGAGTAATCTTTGCTTAGCTCAGTGTCCTATAGAATTTCTCTTATGTTTTCTTCTAACAGTTTTATAGTTTTTGGTCTTATGCTTGTCTTTAATCAGTCTTGAGTTGATTTTTGTATATGGTGTGAAATGGAGTCTAGTTTTATTCTTCTGCATATGGATATCCACATTTCCCAGCACCACTTATTTAAGATGTCCTTTCTTCAATGTATGTTCTTGGCACCTTTGTCATAAATCAGTTGGCTATAAATATATGCATTTATTTCTGGATTATTGGTTCTGTTGGTCTATCTGTCTGTTTTTATACCAACACCATGCTTCTGTTTTGTTTTGTTTTTTTTTACTATACCCTTGTAGTATATTTTGAAGTCAAGTAGTGTGATGCCTCCAGCTCTCTTCTTTCTGTTCTGAATGCTTTGGCCATTCAGACTCTTTTGGTTCCATAGGAATTTTAGATTTGTTTTCCTGTTTTTTTTTGTTTTTTTTTTTTAGTTTTTTTTTTTAAATAAAGATTGCATTGAGTCTGTAGACTGCTTGGGTAGAATGGTGTTTTTAACAATATTAATACTTCAGATCAATATTCATGGGATGTCTTTGCATTTGTTTGTGTTGTCTTTAACATATTTCATCAGATTTTTGTAGTTTTTCACATAGAGGTTTCTATCCACCTTGGTTAAATTTATTTCTACTTTTTTTTTAGCTATTGTAAAAGGGATTGCCATCTTAATTTCTTTGTTTTATATACTGATTTTTGTATCCTGTAACTTTACTGAATGTATTCATCAGATCTAAGAGTTTTTTGGTAGTCTACATTTTTCTAATTATAGGATTATGTCATCTACAAAGAGGGACATTTTGATTTCCTCTTTCCCAATTTGGATTCCTGATTACTCTGAGTAAGATTTCTAGGACAATTTCGAATGGCCATAATGATAGTGAGCACCTTGTTTTATTCCAGTTCTTAGAGGAAAGGCTTTCAACTTTCCACATTCAATATAATATTAGCTGTGGTTTTATTATGTGTGGTGTTTATTATATTGAGGCATGTTCCTAGTATTTTTAGTTTTTATCATGAAATGATGGTGAATTTTATCAAATGCTTTTTCTGTATCTATTGAGAGGATGCAGAATGACTATGTCTGTTTTTACTGTTTTTGACTTAATCTCTCTTTGATCTAATGTAAGTGTAGCTACCCTTGCTTTTTTGTTTTGTTTGGATGAAGTGTATTTTTCTGTCTTAATTCCTGTCTATATCTGGACTTTTCTTTTTCTTCTAGTCTATATCTGTCTACAACTGAGACGAGTTTCTTAGCACATAGTTATGTTTTTTAATCAGTTCACCCATTCTATGTCTTGTAAGTGGAAATCTTTTTCTTTTTACATTCAAGGTTATTGTCAATATCTGAGTCCTTATTCCTGTCAGTTTGTTAATTTATTTGTAACTGTTTTGTATATCTTTGTTCCTTTCTTTCTCCTGGCTGTTAATCATTGCAGTTGGGTGGTTTTCTGTAACATTTGATTCCTTTCATTTCCTTATTTGTGTTTGCTCTACCACGGGGCTTTATACTTTCATGTGTTTTCAAAATAATAGATATCCTTTTACTTTCACATGTAGACCTCCCTTAGGTATTTCTTGTAGTGCTAGTCTAGTGATGGTGAATTCTCTGAGCTTTGCTTGTGTGTGAAAAGACTATTTCTCCTTCATTTATGAAGGATAACTTTTCTGGCTATATGGTTTTTTTCTTCTAGCAGTTTGAATATATTGTCCCATTATCTCTCAGCCTAAAAGATTTCTTCTGAAAAATCTGTTAGTCTGATGGGAGTTTCCTTATAAGTTATTAGATACTTTTCTTTTGCTGTTTTTAGAATTCCCTCTGTTTTGATTTTTGACAGTTTGACTACAATGCACCATGGAGAAGACCTTGAATTATATTTGTGTGAGTTTCTCTGAGCTTCCTACATCTAGATGTCTAAATCTCTTCTTATAAGACTCGGGAAGTTTTCACCTATAATTTTGTTAACGAGTTTTCTTTCATTTTCTTTTCACCTTCTGGGACATTGAAAATTCAAGTATGTAATGTAAGCTTTGTTAATTATTTTTTAATGGTTTAGTGTTAAATTTTTTTAATGTTTTTAGTGTTCATTTGACTGGGTTTTGTCTTCAATTTCTGATTCTTTCTTCAACTTGATCTAATCTGTTGCCGAATCTTTTGAATGTAGTTTGTATTTCTTTCAATGAATTCTTCATTCCAGAGTTTCTCTTTGGTTCTTTTTTTCGATACCTGTCTCTTTAGTAAATTTCTCCTTCATATTATGAATTGTTTTTCTGGGTTCTAGTCTGTCTCACTGAGATAGACTTTAATATTGTTATTTTGAATTCTTTATCTGGGATTTCAAGTGACTCTTATTCATTGGAATCTGTTGCTGGAGGAGTATTTCGTTCTTTTGGAGGTGTCATGTTTTCTTGCTTTTTCACATTTCTTGAGTCTTTGCATTGATATCTGTGTATCTGGTGTAGCAGTTGCTTGTTCCAATTTTTAAAATTATTTTTTGTCAGGGAGACTTTCCTGAAGGTGTGTCGATGGTGCGGGTTGAATAAAGTTCCCTGGCTTTCATTTTGGGTGCAGTCAGGAGCGCAGTGTCTGTATGATTCATTTTGGGTGCAGGCAGTAGTGGGGTCTCCGTATGATTCATTTGAGTGTAACAGTATCAATAGTATCTTCAGTGGCTTAGAGTGCAGTTATTAGTGGAAGGGATGTGCTGTAAACCAGTCTTTAGACCCCACTGGTGGCAGCAGTGGGTCACATGTGCCTCTCCTAAGCGGCTCAGGACTTGGAGGATGTGAGAGTCGTATGAGCTCCCTCTTTGAAGCAATGCCATCACATGATTTCCAGGCAGTTGTCTGTATCAGTTTCAGGCAGCACCTGGGTTGACAGACTCTCCCATGGCTAGGAGTGCAGGAATCCATGGCGGGAATGTGGATGGCTGGGTTCATTCACTTACTCTTTCCTCATATTAGGGAGCCTCTCCAGGCTCTTAGACAGTCCCCACTGAGCAGACTACATTACTTCTCTCTTCTTCCTTAGATATTTTCCTGTCATTTCTCTGTTGAATTCAGAATTACATTTTAGATGGTAAGTCTGATTACTTACTTACTCTAGACGTTCTTCTTTATGGAAGAGGCAAGTACCAGATGCCTCTAACCTAACATATTGAAGACCACTTCCAAGATAAGTTTCCTAAAGGAGGTATACTAAGGTAGAACTTTTTTTTTGGTTACAAGTTATAAAATTCCAATGGAATGAGTACATACGAAAAGAGAATGTTATTATTGGTTCATGTAAACCTGATGTTGGCTATTATCAGTGCTTACTTGTTCCTGCTTTTGTCTCTGCCTCACCTGCCTAACAGCTTGTTCTTTCAGCCTTGCTTTCATCATCAGGCTGAAATGATAGCCAGCTCTAAGTTCACTTCATTCCAGATGCATAAGCAAAGGAGAAAGGATCTCCAATTACAGCTCTCAAACCCATTCATTCTGTGCTACTAGGAACTATCTCAGGGAAGGACTCCGGCCTGACTTGGGTCATGTGCACACCCATGGGCCACTCTGATATAATTTTGTAGACAGGATATGAGTGAGGAAGTAGAATTTAACAACTTTTTCTAGAACCACATAATTGAAGGAAGGGGGAAAGTTACCCCCAAATGAGTTTGGATGCACAGTTACCAGAAGAAGAGATAATGATAAGGAGAAGAAAAAGGAAAAAATAAAAATAGGAACAGTATATACTCTAGAAGGTACATATGGAGTAACATGGGAATTTAGAAGAAAGAGTTCATTTCCTAGAATAATTCAGTGAAATCTGGTGGAGTCCTTAAAAAATGAATGGACATATACTCTCAGTGGTTGCAAAGAGCATTTCAGAAGGATAGGAAGTACCAGCCTGAAGATCGATAGGGCTTTAGTGTAGATTTTTAAAGAACAAGAAAAGCAGAGTAGTTAAGTAAATGTAGCTAAAGGCCAGTCTACAGAAGGGAACGAATGCCAGTGAGGTCCTCTGCAAGCTTGTGGGAGTACTTTGAAATTAATTTTTTAGTCCACATAAAGCAGATGAGGAATATCAAAACTATCTTTAACTATATCAATCTTGTAGATGTTTGTGATTAAATAATTGACAGAGGCAGATGGAAGAAGTTATTTCAATGACCTATGTGGAAAGTCTTGAGGGCCTGAAATGTAACAGAAACAAAACCAAGATACAAGCAGATCTTAAGCTGCACTTTGCCAAATATTAAATACTGCCTGGAGTTATTTCTCAGTGATGTTTTAAATGATTATTGCCATCTTCCTCTTTTTTCCCCATTCTCCAAAACTGCATAATAATAATATGCAAACCAGGGTTATGGATTTACTGCTCTTAATAATTGGAAAAGAGAGAACTTTCATGTGCTCAATACATAACTAAGTAGTCTCATTTGGTGTATTTCTTTTTTTTTTTTAATAGAAAAAAAGACTTTCAAAAGGAGAAAAATCTACTGCCAAATAACTCAGCACCTCTTACAGAACCACAAGATGTGGAAGAATGTCATTGAAGAGGAGCAGCGGTTGGCAGGCATAGAAAATCAATCCCTGGACCAGAACCCTCAGCCACACTCTTCAGAACAGATCCAAGCTATCAAGGAAGAAGAAGAGGAGAAAGGGAAACCAAGAGGGGAGGAGATACCAACCCCAAAGCCCAACCAGTGACGATGGATAGAATGGGCTCTGTTTCCAGACAGACTGACTTGTCAAAGACTCTCTTCAAGCCAGCACAACATTTAGACACAACACTGTAGAAATTTGAGAAGATGGGCAAATGGCTATTGCATTTTGGGATTATTCGCATTTTGTGTGTATATTTTTACAGTGAGGTACATTGTTAAAAACTTTTTTCTCAAAGAAGCTTTCACATTGCAACACCAGCTTCTAAGGATTTTTTCAGGAGGAAATACGTGTGTGTGTGTGTGTGTATATAAGCTCCCACATATACATGTAAAACATATTCACACACATGCATGCACACACATACACACTGAAGGCCAGAATTGCTGGCTCCACAATTTAGTAACATTTATACTAAGATATCTAGTGGTCACTGTGATATAATAAATCATAAAGGAAACCAAATCACAAAGAAGATGGTGTGGCTTAGTGAGGAAACAGTGCAGGAAATGTAGGTTACCAACTAAGCAGCTTTTGCTCTTAGTACTGAGGGATGAAAGTTCCAGAGCATTATTTGAATTCTGATACATCCTGCCAACACTGTGTGTGTGCGTGCACTTTGTGTGTGTGTGTGTGTGTGTGTGTGACGAAGGGAACAGTGAAAGGATGCTTGTGCGTGTGTGTGTGTGCATATGTAAAGAGATTTTTGTGGTTTCAGTAATTCATAGAATAGCTGTAGCAAATGACTGAGTACATGTGAACAAACAGAAGGAAGTTCACTCTGGAGTGTCTCTGGGAGACAGCCATTCCAAATGTCCTCCTCCATCTCCTTCAGTAAAGGAGCTTTTGCAGATGGAGGGCACTCGAGGGCTTGGTGAGAGGGCCACATGTTTGTCTGGTATTACATTACTGCTACGCACCACTTGAAGGAGCTCTATCACCAGCCTCAAACCTGGAAGACTGAGGCATTTTCCAGTCCATTGCCTAATGAATGTACAGGAAGTGTCTATGCGTATGGATGTCACTCGATTAAGATCAAAGCCCCATTTAAGGAGATGATGGCATTCTTTATACATAAACACCTAGGAAAGAGCTGGAGTCAGGTCTTCTAATAAGGTTAGAATTCTGAATGATGCCAGAGAAGGCTTAGGAAATTATACTTCTGTCTTCTTAATTTGATGCAAAATGTGTGGTAGAAAAAGAAAAGGAAACAGAAAAACCACTCTGGGTTATGTAGCAAGAGGTGAAGGAGAATATTTCAACCTAGGGTTTTTGTGCAGACATAGGAAAAGCCTGATTCTTGGCAACTTACGGTTTGGTTGTAGTTTTGTTTTCAGGGGTGAAGGTCCCACTGACAGCCCCTGTTGTGGTATTCCACATGCTATTTGTTGGGGTAGCTTCCATCTGCAATCTGGCCCGTTGTCAGCCATGCTTCTTCCGGCAGGGGAGACTAGAGAGAGATTGTTTGAGGATCAGGTTATTATTGAAAGTCTTTTTGTTTTGTTTTGTTTTGGTTTATCTACACTTGTTTATGCTGTGAGCCAAACCTCTATTTAAAAAGTTGATACTCACTTTCAATATTTTATTTCATATTATTATATATGTCATGATAGTTATCTTGATGTAAATATGAAGACTTTTTTTGTTTTTGTAGATAGTAAATTCTTTTTTAAAAAAAAAGGAAAAGGGAAACATTTTTATAAAGTTACATTTTAATCACCATTTTTTATACATTGTCGTTATTTCCAAGCCCAGTAAAGGAATGATGATTCATTTGCATGGAGGTCGATGGACAGCCAATCATATACCTATTCTAATTTAAATGATAATCTGATATAGTTATTTTTTTGCCAATTAAATGAGAATGCTGCAAAGAATTTTTTTTCACTAGTAACTTTTACTAACTGAATGAATGCTGGGTCCATGTCTCCCAGATGAAAGACTATTAACCAATATCAAATTTTTATAGTTGGTGTCCATTTCTTTCTAACACTGTTTGGTTATGAATCTTCCTTCAGCACTATATACAAACCTGCTCATCATCTAAACAATCTTAGCTTCTAAGTAAACCTCGATTGTGATTTCTAGTTTCTGTTTTATCTGAAGTAGCAGAAAGGATTGTTTACATTAAAATTCCTTATGTTTCTCATAAATGGATATTGTACTCTCCCTTTCAAAGCATTATTTTACAGTAATTCATGGCATTAAAAAATAAGGCAAATGTAATACAATAAAAAAATAAACATAGTTTCGAGGCAAATTCTCCAATAAGTAGGAAAATATCAAAAGGATCAAGTGGATGCAGACTCTACCTAAATAATTAGAATATATTTCAGTATATTTCTGAGTTAACACCAGGTCTTCATTATTTAGAGCTTACTAAACTATTTTCATTTTCTTAGCTTTGCCTGTGTGTCTCTCTGTTTGCAAAAATTACTCAGAGTCAAATTTTGCCAGTGAATTTAACTATTCTTACCTTGCAATTAAGAGAAGGGGAAAAAAGCATTTACCTCCTCATACCCCTTGAATGGAATTACTTAACAGAGCCAATATTTTCCCATTTTCCAAATGCTGTCCATCATCTTTAACACAAATATTAATTGAACAAAAAGCTATGTTTGGAGTGAGCAGACTGGCAGGACAGCTGGACGTCCTCATAGTCTACGGGCAGTTTTGTCGAAGCTGCACAGTCCAAGCAGGGGCCAGCTTGGCTACTACAGTGGAAGTCTCAGCAAACTGCCAGGCTTCGTTTGTTTTGTTTTAAGGTACAGGAAATAACGGGAATAAAAGTGGCAAAAGCAATCAGAGCATTTTTAGTTTAGAATTGTGTTCATCAATCCAGGCAGACAGATACATTTTTCTTTAAAAATAAATTGCTATTATGGCTAGAAGTCAGTTGGGATAAATAAAGGGATGAAGATCCTCCAAGTATGTACTTTCATACACGCCCAGTACATCTCACAGGATGCTAAGGGACACTTTCTGCTAGTAGGGTGCTCCCCCTTTTTTGGTGACAGCAATATTGTTACGTTCACATCCAACTCCAGAGCTTACTTCCCGTGGTGCCAATGTATTTGTTGCAATTTACTACAATTTTATATGAGCCTATTTATAGGTGCCATTAGATAAACTCAGGTCTTTCAAATGAAGGAGTTTCTAGCCCACGCAGGGACAAAGATAATTGTTTCGACAGCCATAAAATCAATGATAGGAAAACTTGGAACTGGTTGCCTGGATGGCATGGTTCTCTGTTACGTAAGAGACCGGGTATACTCTGAGTGTCATCAGTGTTATTTTCAGCACGCTAATGAACATCTTTCCAGTTATATATCTAAACCTTTAAAATATTGGTTTCCTTGGTAAAAGCACTACTTTTTCTTTTTTTAGGTGTAATTTTTGTTTTGTCTTGTTTTGCCATTTATGTAAGACCTGGTTTTGCTCTCAGTAAAAGATGAAGACAGTAGCTCTGTACAGGGGTATAGCTGTATTAGTCTTCATCAGACAAATGAAGAAATTTTCTCATATTTTGTTCAAGAAAGTATTCACTTCCTAAAAATAGAATACCCAATTCTAACTATTCCCTTTTGGTTGAATAGCAGAACAAATCTTACCACTGCAATCCTAACACTAAAGAAATGGAATACCTTACAGACTGTTCATATTAGATGTATGTAGACCGTTAATTTGCAATTTCACCATATTCCCTGCCTATCTTACCCAGAGAACTTTCTGTGAAGGTAAAAGCTGTGCAGAAGGCATAAGACTCAGGCCTACTCTTTGTTTAAATGATGGAAAAATATAAATTATTTTCTAAGTAATAAAATTATAAAAATTATCATTATAAATAAAGTCTAAAGTTTGAAATTACTAATTTATAAAAGTGAACTAATTGTGTGATGATGAAATCCTGATTGATGAGAAGTGAATGATCTGAAAATCATTTATATTCTGCTGTGGGAGGTATCTTGGTGCTTCTACATCAGTATGGGGCTCTCCAGTGTCCTCATCATTTATAGTACTTGTAAAATCATGATGGAAACCTCAATAAGGGTTTGTCCTCTTCTGTCATCATCACCCTGATTCCAGTTTAATGCCTTTCCTGACTATATGCTATTTGCAAATAAACTGCCTCTCAAACTGGTAGAACACTCACTCGAATAAAACAGAGTTCTATGAACTTTCATAACCTAGAAAAAACCAACAAGATTCCCCTTCTTTTAGAGATTAGCTAATATGTGTGGAAGAAATATTAATAAAAGCTCAAATGCCAGTAGCTCAACTCCAGATAATTTAAAGCTAAAATATGTATGTACCATGAAACCGAACTGAGTTTCTTTCATTGACTGAACCAGCTGCAACACATTTTATGACCTTGTCCTAGGTGATTTGTGTCTTTAAAGTATGAATTTGCTGATACTGTCAGTTCATTTTTTAAATGTTCAACAAAATTCAATTTTAAGATTAAGAAATCAGCAATTTTAGGTAAAGAATATTCCAAAATTAAATTTTTCTTATTAAAAAATATATCAGTTTTAGGTACTATATTCACACATCAATTTGTTCATCTGGAAGAGATTCAAATTCTTAATTGGGAATGAATTACACTACAAACAATGAGTTAAGCTAAAAACTATATATGACGTAAATTGAGACTTGCAACGTGGCTGTATGTTTCACACCAATGAACCATGCTCAGAGAACAGTGACACGTTTTTCAGTCTGTTATGCACCATGGATGTTAGGCAGTGTGTGCTATTGCCTACACACTGTATTTGTTAAAATAAATGTTACTTTTATCTTACCTAATGGTGCTTTTACCTAACTTGAATTGATCTTTGTGTTTCCACTAGCAAATCATTCTAACAGTAGGCTAACAAATGGCGAAATAAAACATTTTTTTTGCAAAATATGTTTGAAGACATGACACTGAATATTAAGGCTTTCTTTACATGGTGGAACTCAATGTTCACCTGTTGATTCAAAAATACTGATCTAGTATAAATTATTTTAGTGTAGGTAAGACCACAAAATACAGTACATAGATTATGTATAAATGGAAAACAAAATTGGCTTTTGACATATGTTTAAGGTTCTAAAAGGAATCCACATTTTCTTTCCAATGACAGCTAGTTTTTTTCCATATGTTTTTAAGGTTGATTACTTGACACACATTGGTATCGTTGGGTTTCTGCTTGCTTGAAAAGCTGTGGAGACAGAAGAAAAGCCTTCTCCTTACAAATAAAAAAAAGTTGAACATGTTTACGTTCCGACAATGAAGCAATGATTTCCTCATTGCTCCACATTAAGAAGTGGTTCTTTAATTATGCTAATAATTAATGTAACCAAAAATGCTTCAAAGAGTAATAATAAATTGTCATAGGTAAGTATTCTCAAGAATGTTTAAATTTGATTTTCTGGAAGCAAAGATTTTTTAAAAAAATTTTTCAATTAAAATGAAACCCACAAAATGACATTCCATGGTACTGAATATTTTCATATAATCAGAACCATAAACTGATTATTTTCATATAATCAGAGGCTGAATATTTTGATATAATCATACCTAGTAACATATAACAGAAAACTAGAAAGAATATTTAATTCTTTTTCTAATATTCTCCATGCCTCATAGGGAAAAATGTTTTATGAAGGAAGGGTTCAAATACACTAGATAAAAATTTATGTCAATTTAACTTTGTACAAATTATAGTTTGAGCTCTTCTGAGTTTTTCCTAAGACAAAAGAGTAGATTATTCAGCAATTTATTATGTTTTGTGTTATTACAAAATAAATGTTCTATTAATGTAGATTTTACTGAATTCTAACACAAAAGGCCAAATATTTACCATTCTTACTAAAAAAATTAAACCTTATTCATCTTGACTTTCACAGATGAAACACTGACCAGTGAAGAAACCACACTCACTGCATTAATCTGCCCAGCGTGATCAGAGAGGTTAGAATTTCAAATGCATTAATACAAAAGTAGTAACAAAACTTTGTAAGCCTTAATGGTTTAACTAATATTTCAGTGTCGTTGAAAGTTCCTATTTCAAATTAAACAAATAACAGCAGGATCTTTTTCCTTTCCTGTTTCAAAACAAAAAGCAGATGAACTTCCAAAGACCCACTGGACTGTCAGCTGTACCATGTACTCTCCACTGAGAAAATGAACAAAATCCTCTGTCTTAACAGTTATGCTCTAACTTTTTGAAAGCTTTCTGATGTAAATAATTCTAGGTTAGAAACTAAAAGCCTTTTAATCTTACAAAATACAATTTGAATGATGCATGGTTGTTCAAATATTGGCTTTCTATAAAACATCCTCGTGTTAGACTGTTTGTAATGTAATATCAAAACAATTGGCTGCTTAGGCAGTTTTTTACTACCTTAAAAAAAAAGATAAAGAAGAAACAAAGCCAAACCTATCGGGGGAAAGCATGGCTTCTCTTCAGTTATGCTTCTCTTACTCACTATTAGTAACCAAAAAATAACCAGAAATTCTCCTCTGCCATAATAGAAAGAAAGGCCTTCTACTTAAGTTCTAGTTCCCCAAGCCTGGTTTCATTGTAAAGCCAATGGACATGAGAAGCATAAAAAAGCAAGAGCTGTGGACTGGGAGTGAACACTGCATAAAACCTGCAGGGCACCCAGGACACCCCTCCATCTTTGATACACACCAGCTTAGTTTCTCTGGAGCGAAATGACCTGTGCATCTACTGGTCAACCTTGACTTCTTTTGTGACAAAGAGCATTGAGACATGTTTCCAAATGTGAATTAGCCCTTGAATTAGCTTGAAAACTGCTACTTGAATAACTTTTGAAGAGCAAGATTTTCTTTCTAGTAATTTTACTCCCTAAAAAAGGCAAAATACTCAGATGTTCAATGTGAAATTAAAAACAGTTGTTTGAAGTACATCTACTTCAATAAATAGTGCTTTGTGTATATAAAGTGTTGGTTGATAGCAGTTTTCCTGTCCCTTTTAAAATTCCCAACTGATTAGGGGTCAAAAACTCCATCTTACATTAGAGATTTCATTTTAACTATTTACAAACATAATTTAGTATTATAGTATTGCTAACTTTAAATCGTAATTCTAACATCTATGTCACCTGTTAGTGAGATTTTAATGGCTTTACTGAATATATATTTGTTCATCAGCTTAAAAGAAATCACTAAATTTTTTATACTCTGTAAAATATTTGCATGGGAATTTTAGCATATTATGTTTGCTTAACTGGTGTTTTTTTTCACTTATGACTGTCAGTTTGTGTCTTAATATATTCTCGCAGAAGAATGCATACCATTTTGTTCCAATACGGACAATGTGTTAGTTGGTAAGCACTGGAAATGAATATCACCACTCCATGATATTTCTTCCTCGAGATTTCTATCATACACATCACAAAATGAAAATTGGTGCTTTTATGGATATTCTGACTCTCGATGCAAAATAATAAAAATGAGATTCTCCCTGGCTTTCTATATTAGAATATGTGACTGAAGGAACTTTAATCTGAATTTAGAGTGTTTCGGGTTTTGGTTGGTTTGAATAATTTGATTTGAATTTCTGCATTAAAATGTGCTTGGATTTCTGTGGGCAGTTGTTCTGACTAGTCACTACCTCCTCCCCACAGAAAACAAAGAAGAGAAAAACAAAAGCCTGGCCTTGGCAAGTTCTAATTAATATGGCCCCAAAATTTGACCTTGAAGGATATTTGTAAACCAGAGAGTATTTAATTAACTGAATCTGCTGTTCCTAAAAAGCAATATTTTCAAATAACTGCCAACCACAGTGACACTGTAGTGATGTCATTTGTACATTACAATTTTTAACAATTCTTACCACTCTCAACAAACCTGTTTATTAACTAATAACTTTGCCAAATTTTTCAACTTCTAGAAAAACAAGAGGCTTTTGAACGTAAGCAATCATTTTGCAATTGAAATAAACACTGTCCTTTCACCTGCATCTTCCATTTAATACACGTAGCAACAGTTAGTATCATCCCATCATGAGTGTTGTTAAGTGACTGACTTAGCAGCTGAGAAATGTTTGGTGAAAGGTAGGAACTGTAAAGAAAAAAAAATAGATAAATTGTATTTATTTTTGTTTTTTAACTTAGATGCTATGTTGATGCTCCCTTTTTGCCAGAATTACTGGAAGTGCCTCTTGGTTTTATATATGTAAATACATATATTACAGTAAATATATACTCAAAATTATTGAAATTATGTCATAGATGATGATGTTATGATGTGAAGATAATGTATAATATAAAAATAATTCTGTGATATTATGGTTTATGTATTATTTGTACAATCCACGTCCTCCAGTCCTCTGAAGGCATCCTTTCCTCTTATATGCAAATGGAGTGGTGTGGGACCTAACCTATAATGTGCTGAGACAGACGTTTCCTGGCCTTCCTACAATCTCCAAGGGACCTTGTTGGGCTTATTTTCTCATGGGCACATCTTTCTCACTATCACTAATGAATTCGCAGCCACATTTAATTATCCAACTTTCTGCAACTGAGTTGTGTCCTTTCTTTAATCAAATAACACCAAAGCCAAAATACCCACATTTCTGGCATTCAGCTTTAGAGTCCTAGAAAATCAAGTTACATTTCTACCTAGGTTCCCTAAGGAATTGATTCTTCAATCTACACCTATTATTTCCTCATTATTTATGATATCAAATCCTAACTCCTAAGACTGATGTTTTCAAATCCCCCTTTGCTCTGGCCTGAAACTACCTCTCCAGTGCGCACGCGCGCACGCGCGCGCACACACACACACACACACACACACACTCTTCCAACTATACATAGCACAAGAAGGCAATATTAACTATGTCTTCTTGAGT